TTTATATTCACAATTCTTTATCACTGTTGTTATTTAATATTTTGTGTGTGTATGGTTTGGTATAAACAACGTTACTTTTTTTTAATATTAATTTTTGAGTTTAAAAAAAATTAATTACAAATTCCTGGCCAGACATGGTTCATTCATTATTAATTACTGGTAAAACTGGTATTGTGTTTAAAAAATATGCAACGTGACTCTTTGGTACAGTCCACTGTCCTACTACAACTTACAGACACAACGCCATAAAAAATGGACATCTATTGACTAATACAGTTTCAAAAAGTCTTTAGGTTTGTGTGTGTGTGTATCTTTATATACATGTTCAAGTTATTCATCCTAGATACTCAGAAGTGAAGGTGCAAGCCTATTCAAGTTGTGGAACTATCGCCATCTATCGATTATCGGAAACATTTATCCGATAGCAAATAAGTCCATTTGAGTTAGCAAAGGTATCCTGTAATACATTTTTTGCACTTAAATCACATTAAGTAATCGCATTTAACGTACTGCATAATTCTTACTATAATGTATGTCACTATCTATGTATGTAACCGAAACTACAGAAAAGTCTTTAAACATGAACATCTCGATAATATTGGTGCAGAGATCAAATGTTGATTGTAACTTGTGTAAGCTTTAGAAAGAAGTTCAAAGAGTACTGTGAGTTGTAAAACTCTCGGGCCGTTCACGTGAAGCTGATTTCCCTCAATAGTCAACAAAGGTCCGGTATATAACAGGAGATTCTGCCAGGAATTAATACACAATATTTCTGAATTTCTCTGAAACTGAGTTTGTGAAAAGAAAGAGACTGGACACTAACATAAACATGAAAAGAAAGAGACTGAACACTAACATAAACACATCATGGAAACGATATTTATTTTCAACATAAAAATACAGTAAGCCTAATACTGTTATCCAATGGCGACTTCAGGGTTATGAAAGTGGGGAGGCGAAGAGGTGGAAGACATTTTTTTTTTTTTTAAGGACAAGCAGAAGGAAACCTATGGAACAACAAAGAAGCTCTATGAAAGAATGATTATTTTAGCTACTTAATGTTTTCATTCATGTTTAGATACATTTGTTTGTTGTATAAGACTCATTATCTATTTGGCGCATTGTATCATAATGAAAATGACAGACAGATTGAAAAGCTAACGAAAACCATCTTTAAACAGTGTAATATTAAAGAGTCAAATATAAGTCCTCGTGTTATTTAACAAAACAACGACAAACAAACTCAGAAACGTTTCGCATACTCCGAGAAAGAAACAACAAAAACATTTCCATCTACTACAACTTACTTTAATTTCGCGCAAAGCTACACGAGGGATATCTGCGTTAGCCGTCCCTAATTTAGCAGTGTAAGACTAGAGGGAAGGCAGCTAGTCATCACCACCCACCGCCAACTCTTAGACTACTATTTTACCAATAGTGGGATTAACCGTCACATTATAACGCCCTCACGGCTGAAAGGCCGATAATGTTTGGTGAGACGGGGATTAACGACTGTTAGAGATCGGTTCAACAACCATAAATCTTCTGCTAATACCAAAAAAATACTTCCATGTTGCCCAACACTTTAACCTACTTTGGCTTGCCACTTTAAATACCTTATGGAATGAGCCTAGAACCTGGAATCTTTGGCCATTACTTAGTTCTCTGCCTGACGAATAATTCTTTTTGGTTTTATTGTGTGTTGTGTAATTTTTTATCCCGGATTTATTATCCTCGTATTTATTATTTAATTGGGATAATTTTCCACGTCTTTTTTATCTGTTTAGTTCTATCTTAACATTTTTTAATCATCTTTGTTTTTACGTTATCAAAACTCAATATGGTTTCCCTTGACATTTTTTTTTGTTCTTTTAATTAAACAAAACTCCGCCCTCTTCGAATCCAACATTCCAGTTACCTGTCGTATTGCACAACGAAAAAAAAAATCACACCTGCAACACTATATTGAAAGCCAATCAAAACACTTCCTTGTTGTCATGGTAGTCTTCCATGACGTCAGTCCACCTTCTTTCATACTTAGTCATTCCCAGTTAGGCCCTGATAATACAAACAGCTCTACCTTTTTTCAAGGTGCTCAGGTTATTGGGCTTTTAGTTTTCGTCTCGTAGTGGAAATCTTGAGGGAGGAGAGGCAAACAAATTTCAGGGATGGCTATCGCCACCTGGCGTCGCCGATGTTCTTATGAATGAGACGTTTAAGCCGTAACAATTACTAATGTGCAGTATGGATACAGATAGTTAAGAACACATTGTTAAGATTGGTTGTTGTCTTTGCCAAGACAACTCTTGGAATCAGTAGAGTCAGCCCGTGAAGAAGACGTAAAGCGACGAAACGTCGAGGGGGGGGGGGTAACTTCACTGGTTCCTGACTGTTTCTCTTTTTCGTTTTCAAATTCGATGACGAGGAACCTACTTTGAGACTAATAACGGTTGGAGACGGCTTGAATGGGTAATGAAGAAAAACTTTAATATAAGTTTAACATAACAGCAAATATACAACGTTTCGACAAGATACCTGATGATGATGATGATGCCGTCTCCAACGGGCCCGGCATGGCCAGGTGGTTAGGGCTCTCGACTCGCAATCTGACGGTCGCGGGTTCGAATCCCCATCACACCAAACATGCTCGCCCCTTTTAGCCGTGGGGGCGTTATAATGTGACGGTCAATCCCACTATTCGTTGGTAAAAGAGTAGCCCAAGAGTTGGCGGTGGGTGGTGTGATGACTAGCTGCCTTCCCTCTAGTCTTACACTGCTAAATTAGGGACGGCCAGCGCAGATAGCCCTCGTGTTGCTTTGCGCGAAATTCAAAAACAAACAAACCGTCTCCAACCATTATATGTTTCTCCTTTTATTTATCCTTCATAGCTGAAGAGAACAGTTAGAATTAAAGTTAAAATGAACGAAATAATAGAGTATTTAAAAAAAAAACTTTTATTAATCATTTCCATTTAAGTATTATCGAGACAGGAAATAATCTTAGTCTCTTATTACTATTGTATTTATTCTATTAACGTTGTGACATGGTTGACACCTTATATTTCACGCGCAGTCAAACCATAAGAACAGGCAGTTTTTCACGCTGTGAGCTTTTGTCCTTATTTCGCTTATATTGTTTGTTTGTAGTCAAGCGCAAAGCTACACAAAGGGCTATCTGTGCTCTGTCCACCACGGGTATCGAAACCAGGTTTCTAGCGTTGTAAGTCCGCAGACATACCGCTGTCGCTGTGCCACTGGGAGGGGGGGGGTGGGGCTATTTGGCTTATAAAACACATAAATGGACTTGGCTTTGATGTCCCGTTGATTGATTTGTTTAGCTTCAATTTCGCGCAAAGCTACACGAGGGCTATCTGCGCTAGCTGCCCTTAATTTAGCAGTGAAAGACTAGAGGGAAGGCAGCTAGTCATAACCACCCACAGCCAACACTTGGGCTATTATTCTACCAGCGAATAGTGCGATTGATCGTCACGTTATTACGCCCCCACGGCTGAAAGGGCGAGCATGTTTGGTGGAACGGGGATTCGAACCCGTGATCCTCAGATTGCGAGTCAATTAAGCGCCCTAACCTCCTGGCCAAAATATCCCCTTGAACAATCTTCTTTGGCCAGCAGAAAATGACCTGTCTTACTAGTTATTATAAGGTACCGTAATTACAAGTGGATTAAGGTCAAATGGTCAAGTGGATTAAGGTCAAATGGTCTTTTTTAGCATAACAACATCAAAATTTATAATTATTAGCAACGGAGAACAAGCATTGACATGTAGCCAGTTTTCTCAATTAAAACTATCAATATGACAAATAGGGTTTGTTTGTTTTGAATTTCGCGCAAAGCTACACGAGGGACGGCAGGCGTAGATAGCCCTCGTGTAGCTTTACGCGAAATTCAAAAAGCAAACAAATCGATCAGAAAGCATCCCTAATGAACATCCTCGTGCTAAACCTCTTACAAACTATTGACATTTAATTGATCGTTTTGTCATTTATTGTTGATATTAGGTCATTACACAAAAAGTCGCGTGAAATAACGCCGTAGTATTTAATGTTTTATTCTTTTGTAGATGAATAACAATTATTTAAACCAGCAGAAATACCCGACCTCCGGGCAGGTATAACTTCTAGTTCTTGCGGATGGCTATTAGGCCTGAGGCCTTTTCTGGAATTGTCTGACATTTCTACAACAGTGTACTCGTACTTGACATTCAATAATGTTCACCATCCATGAGAAAAAATGATTTTATTGAAATTTGAGTTTAAAAATCATCACAGAGTAGATTTTATTGAAGTATTTCTTTGTAGACGCAGTTATCAATGAAAGTGTCTTGATTTTTTGTTGTAGCACTCATGAGATTTTCAGTAAAGAAAAATTAATATTTTTTTAAGTTTACTTTTTAATAGTTTTATATTTGAAACATTTTGTTAAACATGTCAGTTGTGTTGAAATTTCAATTGTTTTATTTATTGCTCAGCTATAAAAATACTGCCTAGTTATAAAAATATTACCCAGTTATGATTGATGATGATCGGTGCGGAAGTTTCCGAGATCCGACGTATACATAGCATAAAATACGAAGGCTTTTCAGGTGCCGGTTTTCATTCGACTGGTTTATAAAATACAACTGAGGCCTCATATATATATGTGGGTTGGGGGGGGGGGGGGTAATGGTTAGGACATTCTACTTGCAATCTTAGGGCCGGGGGTTCGAGTCCCGTCTCCGAACATACTCGTCCTTCCAGCTATGGGGGCATTTTGATTTTACGGTCAAACCCACGATTCGTTAAAAGTAGCCCAAGAGTTGGCGGTGTGTGGTGTTGAACGTTTACCGTTTAATCTATCACTGCAAAACGAAGGACAGGTAGCCCTCGTGTTGCTTTGCTCGAAATTCAAACACAAACAAAAAAAAATACAGGTGTTACTATTACAAGTGAGGTACATGTAGTTTTATTACATCTAGGAAAATCCGAATCACTTATGGGGAAAATAATCATGAAACTGACTCACCAGCAACTTGTTAAACCTGTTTGTGTTGTTCCTTTTATTTTAAAGTCAAATATTACTACCACTCGAGATTTCAACAAAAGCACGAAACACCCTAAACAAAGTAAGTAGTCTTAGTTGTGGGGTCTTTTGACTTTACTTAAGAGCCTAAACAAAGTAAGTAGTTTTAGTTGTGGGGTCTTTTGCCTTTACTTAAGAGCCTAAACAAAGTAAGTAGTCTTAGTTGTGGGGTCTTTTGACATTACTTAAGAGCCTAAACAAAGTAAGTTGTCTTAGTTGTGGGGTTTTTTGACTTTACTTAAGAGCCGAAAGAGCGTACATGACGAAAAGAGAATCCCAAGGTTTCAGTTAACTTCTAGATCTTAAGATGTAATGTTAACAAACCTATAATTTTTAAAAACAGTGTGATTAAACTAAAATATTAAAATTAGTAAGTTCGTATTCACATTCGATGTGTGGTTTTGAGAAATTAGGGTTTTGTATTGTAAGCGAAACATATAATATTACACTACACCAACTAGAACTAGACGACAGAGATAAGGTAATGATTATGATTTTAAAATTTTGTAACAAAGTATTTACTTAAAACCAATGTAATGCTATAATTTATACGAATTATAATACATGACATGATTTCATTACTTATTCTATTATTAATATTGTGGTATAAAAATACTAAGATTTTATTTCTGACATTCTATGAACCAACTTAGTAGAGTGATTAAAGAAATGGCTCTTGTCATATTGATAGATAAAGTCACTCAAGTCATTGAAGCAGTGCTCTGTTGCTAGTAGTAGAGCCAATAGGGTGAAACTAAACTTCATGTAATTAAATCCAAGAAAACTTTGTACCTTTATAAGTTTGACTGATATTGCCTTTGATAAAATCACTCTGTAACCACTACTTTGCTATTATTGAAAATATTATTTGTTCTAATATATATTCACTATAAATTACTCAATTGCTTGGAAAAATATAGTTTGAAATAATTGAATTTTATTAAATTTAGATACTTTGCTTAACAAGAAATTGCAAGTGAGTAGAAGTAGTCTAGCAGGATAACTAACTATGGATATAATTGGGATTATGGCCAAAAACGTCGCCAAAATTAATACAAAAAAATGATTCACCTTGTTAGAAAACTAAAACTGTCTAGCTGAAAATATTGAGAATTTCTTATAATTCCTGTTTCTCTCCCACTAGCTTGGATGGCCTAAGAGACTGATCAATCAGAACACCAAGATATCATTTTAACTTCCATCCATAACAGTGCTCTTTCTTTTATTTTAACCTTACCCAATATATGTTTTTAGTACACGTGCTTTACCATAAAAGAGGTTTGAAATATTGTAAACTTTCCAGTATAAGGGATTGAAAAACAAAAGCATTAGTATGTGTTGATCATTCTGATGGAGGAAGGAACTTTATAAAAGATAGTAAAATACCAGAGCTAGAAATCTGGAATATGAACAACATAACTTTCAATTGTGATATATTGCAGTATAATGGCCAGGGATTATCCCTGTGGTAGAGCTCTGGCTAACCCAGTTCAAATCCGTGCAATAACACGGAGCATTCCCTGTATTTTAAGCTGTGAATGTGTTATGAGAGTGACAATCAATCTCTAATTATGTGAGGTAGGATGCTGATGACTGGCTGCCTTCCCTCTGGTTAGTAGTTCAGAGTTAGGGATGGCAGAAGATGGCCTTAATAGCTTTGCCATAAATACAAATAAACATAGTTCAGTATGTATAAACAACTCTTTTAGTAGTGTCTGTCTATTCTTAGTGACAAAAATCATTTACTCAAGATGAACACCTGCCCTGCACATTCCACTGCCTGCCAGTCTGGTGTTATTGGTGTGTTTCTTGTGGTATGTTGCCTTATGAATCAAGATTTTGCACGAGTACATTGTGTAGCGAATCATGACGGAGCTTTAAAGTTGAAAAGGTTTTTATATGAAGTGGCAGAAGATGGCCTAGGAATCCATGAAATGCAGGTAAAGATTAATAATAAGTACTTGTGTTTATTATCTCCGTGTACACGTAGGAGTTCGTAGAATTAGGGATGGTGCAAATGTAAACACAATCCTAACTGAGGAAGTTGTTTTTCTTGGGGAGGAGGAGGAATTTCTGAATAGTTTTCTGTGTTAATTTGTATTAAAGCTGAACACCTTTAAAACTAGAGATAATATTGAAGAGAGGGTTTCTATATACAATTACTATTTAATTCCAAGTTTATGCATGCAAAAATTAAAATATTAATTCAATTAATTTATCTTCTAGGTTTTCTAATAAAAGATGAGAAATGTGTACGTGGATGAGAAGTAAAGTTGATAGGAAAATAGTTAATCTTGATTTTTTTTTTAAAGTTCCAGAAAACATTTAATTTACTTTAACTTTGGTTATTTCTTCTCCTCACTAAAATGTTTCATAGACTTATTTTTTGTGTGTGTTTTTTGTTCAGAAAGCATTTGATGATAATGCAGCTGTTAATAAGTCCATAGATCCTGCACGGAAACTGAAAAAGGTAATAATAATTTTTTGTGATCGCTTTTGAAAACTAATTAAACCAGATTTGTATTCAGTTCATGTAAGTGACTTTTTTTTTTTTACAGTAACATCGGTAGTGAAAGTAAAAAGTTACAAATACTTCATAAAATACATAGCAGTAAATATATAAAACTTTTATGATTGTATATAAATTTTTTAAAGATAATTAATTCAACAATTTTTTCTAATCCTGAAAAACTAGGACAAAACTAAAAGTTTTTCATATACAGACTAGCCAGTATTCGATATAAGTGTAGTGTAATGTAGCCTAGGGAAGAGAGATATCTGAAAGTGTAGAACCCACATGTTAATTGGGAAACCACCATCTATCATATTTCAAGAATAGTTTGGTTGATTTTTTACATTAATTTAGTTAATATTGCATACTTTACACTAAAGAATTTAACTATTGTTCACGAATCCCAAATGTGAAGTGAAATTAAAACTAAAAAAACATTAAGGACGGTATGGTTGCTGAAGCTGTGAAAAGTACAGTTGTTGTTCTTAGTGAAATGAAAGTCAAGGAAATAGAATTAAAACTATAAGTCCATAAAACCGGTTATTGTCGTTGTGATGAATGATAAAACCTCATGAACTCGTTTAGCCTCAGTAATAGTTGTGTATCGATGAGAATGGCAGGATAAAACCTGAGATGTCTAGCCCAGTAGTGTATATTGTTAAAAAAATAGATTACTTTCAAAATTTCAAAAATGTAGTAATACATTCTTCCACCTTCCTGATGAGACTGTTGGATACATTGTTGTCTCTGATGAGACTGTTGGATATGTCGTTGGCTATGATGAGACTGTTGGATACATCGTTGTCTCTGATGAGACTGTTGGATACATCGTTGGCTATGATCAGACTGTTGGATACATCGTTGTCTCTGAGTTGTAGGAATG